CAATGCATGTATCAATTGCATCCTTCAAACGCCAGTTCTCAGCTTTCAATGCCTCCACCTTAGCCACAGATGCTGCCAAACAATTTTTCTGAACATCCCTTACCTCATATGCTATTTTTACATCCAAAGCTACATTAGAAGCCTTCTTCTCAGTAGTAGCAAAGTCCCTTTCCAATTTCTTGATAGAAAGGGACTGAGCCTCAGCAGTGGCACATAGGGCCATAGTGTGGTATAGGCTCTACATAATCAGTATTAACAATAACAGTGTAAGTGGAATGAAAAGAAAGCTAATGGAATAACAAAGAAAGGAAAAGAATAAACCTCTACAGCACGAATTGGAGCAGAAGGAAGAAGCTGTTCTAGCCCCATGTTTCTTATAATTTCCTCATCTTTGGGCAGCCATACTCCTCGTGCAACTGCCAGCGCTACAGAAGGATCAGTAACAACCAAACCTCCGAAATGAAGGATTGATTTATCCGCTCTAGAGAAGGTAGGCCTCCAAGGCTCACCTGTCTCGGCCAGGACAAAAGCCCTCACCTTTTCCTCCGGTTTAGCCTCCCCAACTTTCTTTCCTTTACTTTTTGAGTGAGTAACACTCTTATGTTTGGCAGACGAAGAAGGGTTCAGTCTCACCTTTTTATACAAAGGAGGTTCATCAACCTTCTTCTCTTGCTTAGTAAAGTGCAAAACAACAAGTGGCTCGCTCTCTACAACTTTCTTTTTAAGAGCCTCAGCTCTTTTCTTCTCCTCATCAGTAAGAGGAAAGTTGTCAAAGGAGTGGAGTGCCAAGTCCATAAGATCAACAACAACAGCACTAGAAGCGATTTCCTTAAGGTTAGGAGAAGAGAGTAGATCTTCAACAGAAGGGGGATGGATCGTACCAGATTTGTTCTTCGAGAAAAACAAGCCTTTTTCTAGTTGCGGAAGAGGGGAACGTTGCTGAAAAAACACCAAGAAATTAGTAAGTGTGATGAAAGAGTAAAACCTGACATGGGAAGCAACCAGAGCACTTTGTATGAAGAAAGGGAAAACATTCTATACCCAATGTCCCAAATTTGCGAGGAATGGGGAGTTTGTTCGATTAAGACACAGACCAGTTCCCCTTAACTATAATCATCCTCTCTTTCCATCTCTTCTCGGAGGAAGGGAGGTCCGTACATATCCTCTATTGAAGAGAGGAAGTAAAATAGTAACAACCAAGCTCGGTCCCATGTCTAGAAATAGTATAGGTACGTAACATATCAACAATAGTTAAATCAAGACTCTCTAGCCTTCGGCGAACAAGAAGGACCGAGACTATTCGAAGAAAGTTAGGGTTTCCTTGAAGTGGGGCAATGCCTAACTTATTGAAGACCGGGTGATAAAATGGGTGGAGAAGAAAGCGAAGAGCATGTAACTGCCCAATCGACAAAAGTAATTCATTCTCTTCGACACCCTCGCCTGAAGTGAAGTCGGCCTTCTTCGGATATTCAACAATTTCCACCCCCTCGGGGATCTCAAATTCCTCCATTATAGAATCAATGGTGAACTTGATACACCAAATAGACAAAATCATTTCTTTCACCTTTTTGGTGAAAATACTATCTGACCCAGAAGTGGAGACTTCAACTTGAGGTAAGGAGACATCCATTTGACTGGTTGAATCGTTTGTTGGTTTAAGAGGGTTAGAAATCCTAGGAGGAGGAACCCTAATAAGAGTAGGGGAAGACGAGGGCGTGGACTCAGAATCTATAATTTCTATGTGGTCGTGAGTGGGCGAGGTACTCATGGTACGAAATGAAAGAAGTAGATGAAAAACTAACCTGGTGTCGCGATGAAGCAAAGAACGCAGTGAAGGCAAAAACAAGTCTTGAGGAAGCTCTTAGATCAGAATGGCAATGGACACTCCTTGAAATGCCTCTTGCAAAATTGGCAACCGTACAACTTCAATTTCCTTTTAATTATGAGCCGTAGTCCAATTAAAGAGGGAATTGGGGGTAAAATGTGGAGGAAAAAATCCCCGTTCAGTAAGAGTCGTCCACGTCACTATATTAAATAATTATACTTTTGATCTTTTTGATGGACTACAGAAGCCCAACCCTGGAAAAACCCATATTAAGTCTCCATTAGCCCAAGATTGCAAACACTGAACTTTCAGACCATCAAGCAAGCTCAGCCGACCCAAGATGTATTCGGCCCAAACATATTAAAGATTAAATAAGTCCTACTAAATGAAGGATCCTATATGAAAGGAAAATTCTACAAAAGGAAAAGTCTGACATGGAGATAATTGTAAAAGGGAGTAACTTTATTTGTAAAAAATTGTATATAAAATGAATTGGAGGACAAGTAAGGTGAGTCCTACCACAATTCTACCATCTTTTTGTATATACATAGAGGCCTAGACCTCTAATAAAGATATAGAGCAATATACGCATCTCTCTGAGTAATTCTTGTTAATTATTGTTTTATCTTGAGTGAGTTGTATTATTTCTTTTAATTTTTTTTGTCAAGAGAAATTTTGCACTTACACCGTACAAATTAAATTAATGCATATATTGCTATCACAAATGTAACCAATTTTTCTGGTTTGAGTGTTGTTAATGAAAAACATAGGTATTGAGATTGACACCATGGGAGGAGAGAGAAAGAGAGAGAGAGCGCTGATAACGAGGAAATTAGTGAGAGCTTTCTCTAGAAAGCTCTTCTTGGTGATATGTGTGAGTTTGTGTATTTACGGTTATGGCCCTTTATTGGTGCTTGTATTATGAAAATGCCCTTTGATATAATCGAATGTACTCCACCGACTGTGTGTGACAGCTCAGCAAGTACGATGGTCTTAGCTTCATAATACACGAACATCTGTCTTTTTCTCTCTTCCACGTGTCCTTTTTTCTCATCTCCAGACTCAGGTCACTTTTTTTCTCTTACTGTGATCTTTGATCTTTATTCTAACCTTACAACAAAGACCTCTCTCTCAAATTTCATATTAGTGACAATTTTGAGTGACAAAATTAAGAGTTAATTATGCCTTTCACTATCATCAGGTAATCATTATTTTATATTCCCACCGTTTCATTCTAATTGTCGCTTTCAAAAAATGTGACTCATAATAATAGGACGGAAGTAGTACCTATTTTGTTACTTTCTTTTTCAATATTAGAATATATATATATATATATATATATATATATATATATATATATATATGGCAAAAGTGTAAAAAAAACCCTTGAACTATCCAATTTTTTGCAAATACCCCCCTAAACTAGGTAAAGTGTGCAAATACCACCCTGGAAGTCACCGGATCAGCTTTCCGGCAACTGTTGATTTGAAATGACCGAAATGACCTTACTTATTAAATTATATAAAAAAAATTTAAAAAAAAAGTTAATTGTGATATGCCAATTTTACCCTACTAAATTAAATTGCCCTAAAATCTCATTTAGTTGATTATGTTAGAGAGAGAGACACACAGAGAGTTAGAGAGCGATGGAGGCGCAGATACGAACTTATGGTTTCATACTGTGGGTGGAAGACTTTGATCGTATTCTTGTTCTGTTCAATTGTGCGCGACATCGTGTTGTTGTTCTCTTCAATTGTGCGTTACATCGTGTGGTATTTCCTGTTGGGTCTGTCGTTTTCACGAACTTTGATTCGATTTTACAAGTTCTCCAAATTTGTAAGTTTAGATTCTATTATATGTCTTTATGTCGATTTTAAATGAATCTTATTTTTCATTTTGTATGTTAATGGTTATATTTTTGGGTTAATTAGTACTAATCGAATATTTGATTTCTAGGGTTTTTGAAAATCTGTTTTGACCTAGTATACAATTCTCTTTTTTGTATATATAATACACATGCATGCAATTTTTTAGAACTTGGGAAATGTTTGGTGTAGGCTTTATATTGATTAAAGAAGATAGACCCCACTGACAACAGAGTTTATAGTCAATGACAGTGGTCCAAGTCCTTCTTCTTTTTTTTTTTTTTTACTTTTATGTCTTCGTATAGTGATACACAATGGTCCATGTCTTGTGTTTGATGTCAGTTTGTTTCCTACATCATTTTTAGACTGATGTCTTGTGGGAAATGTTTGATGTCTTGTGGTCCATGTCTTGTGTTTGATGTCAGTTTGTTTCCATGTGATCATTACTGCATTTATCTTCATATATTCCATTACTGCATATTTAATAACAGTGAAAAAAAAATGCTCCATTACTCCATTAGGGTTTATGTATATTGTTATTTTATTGCTTAGGTATAGGTATTGTTATTTGCTTAATTTTTTTATTTTTTGTGCTTAGGGATTGTCTTTTGATTATTTTTTTATTTTTTGTACTTAGGGTTTATGTATATTGTTATTTTATTGCTTAGGGATTGTTATTTGCTTAATTTTTTATTTCATGTGCTTATGGATTTTCATTTAATTATTATTTCATTTTTTGTGCTTGGGGTTTGTACAAATTGTTATTTTATTGCTTAGATATTGTTATTTGCTTAATTTTTTATTTTTTGTGCTTAAGGATTTTCATTTGATTATTATTATTATTATTATTATTATTATTTTATTTTTTATTTTTTTATTTTTTTATTTTTGTGCTTAGAGTTTATGCAAATTGTTTTTTTATTACTTGGGTATTTTTATTTGCTTAAATTTTTATTTTTTGTGCTTAGGGATTCTCATTTGATTAATTTTCTATTTTTTGTGATTAGGGTTTGTGCATATTGTAACTTTATTGGTTAGGGATTATTATTTGTTGAATTTTTTATTCACCATGACTTATGTGTTTTGGTTTGCTTGATTGAATAGACAATGAATACTACCAGGTTGATTACATTGGAAGTACAATTTGGAGGTAATTTCCAATACACACCACTTAAGTCATATATTGGTGGTGAGGTAGACCTACTTGACAATGTTGATGTGGATTTTTTTTTTAATCACTTTTTCATCTAAAAGAGGTGGCTAACAGGCTTGGGTTTGAAAAAAATTATGAGTTGTATTATAGGAATCCAATGGTGGCAAGTGATGAAGGAGTTAAGAAAATTGAAAAAGATGAAGATGTATTGGAATATATTAATGCTCATAACAGGTTCAGGTTGATGAAAATCTTTATAATTTCAAAAGGCAGTGTTAAGGGTGAAAATGCTGAAAATGTAGAGGAAAGTTATGAGTGTATGGAGGATGGAATACAACCTGAAGTTGACATGCATGATGATGATTGTAATTGGGATGATTAAATACTAGAATGGGTAACTCAGACTGAAAATGAGCTGAATGATGAATTAGAGCATGAATATGCTACTGTGGATGCTAATGTGGTTGTAGATGTGGATGCTGATATGGTTGATGTGGATGCTGATGTGGTTGAAGATGTGAATGCTGATGTGGTTGAAGATGTGAACGTTGGTGTAGATGAAGATGTGAATGTTAATGTAAATCAAGATGTGAATGGTGATGTGGATGAAGATGTGAATGGTGGCATGGGTCAATACTCAGATATTGAATCCATATATTCACCAAGTGATAAGTTGGAAAGCTTATGCGGATCATCCTCTGAAGAAGATGGCAGTGACAGTGAAGTGGATATGGTTCCAAGAAGGCATAAATTTAGGAATAATGTCATAGAACTTGGCAACAAATTTTCTTCACCTGAAGCATTTAAAGTGGCCTTAAGGGATGATGCTATTAAAGGAAAGTATGATATTAGGTTTGTGAAGAATGAAGGGAATAGAGTTACTGCTACATGTTCAAAAAATTGTGGGTGGAGAATTCATGCATCATTTAACTCAGAGGATGGCAGCTTCCAAATAAAGACTTTTAACTCAAAACATACTTGCAGTTACAACAAGCTTAATAGTCAAGCATCAGCCAGTTATTTGGCAACCAAATATATGGACACAATTAGGGATGAACCCACATGGAAACCAACTGCAATGAAGAAGGCAGTTTTAAGAGATTTGGATGTTAATGTTTCCAAATACAAGGTTTATAGGGCAAGAAAGAAGGCTAGATTACACATTGATGGTGACCATGGACTGCAATTCTCAAGGGCTAGAGATTACTGCCAGCTCAGTCAGACCACCAATCCTGGTAGTATAGCAGTGACTACTGTTGATAGACCAACACTTGATGACCCTGTTAGATTTGAAGGGCTATTTGTTTGCTTTGAAGCAATGAAGAGAGGTTTCTTAGAAGGATGTAGGCTATTCATTGGATTGGATAGTTGCTTCTTGAAGGGTCCTTACAAAGGGCAGTTGTTAAGTGTAATTGGCAAAGATGTAGACAATGGAATATTTCTTATAACCATAGGTGTGGTTAGGTCTGAAACAAAACAATCATGGGAATGGTTTTTAAACTAACTAGAAAGTGCTTTGGGTCCCCTAAACAGATTTACATTTATGTCCGATAGACAAAAGGTAGAAATGTTTAAATAATTTATTTTATGTTATTTATTTTACATTTATGAACTTTTTATATTAATATTTTCTTTATTGTTGGTTAACAGGGTTTAGTTGAAATCTTTGAAGACTAGTTGCATGGCACTTACCATAGATTTTGTGTGAAGCGTATGTATGAGAATTTTAAGAAGAAGTTTAAGGGTGTGAAGTTGAGGGATGAGATGTGGAATGCAGCACATGCTTTGACTGAAGATACATTTAAGCATCACATGCATCTCATAAGTCAGATTGATAAGGAAGCCCATGAGTGGCTGTCAAAGGTGCCAGCTAGGTTATGGTCAAGGTCTAGGTTTAATGATAATTCAAGATGTGATTTGCTTGTTAACAACCTTTGTGAGACTTGGAATGACAACATTGGTGATGCTAGGGATAAGTTATTAATTACTATGTTGGAGTGGGTTAGAGGGTGCTTGATGAATCGGTTTCAATCGAAAAGGGAATGGATTCAAAACCAGAAGGGGTTGTTGTGCCCTACAATTGCTGACAAATTGACCAAGCTAATGGATAATTCAAGGCATTGCGCTATAAAGGAAGCATGTGATGATATATATGAAGTTTGCTATAAAGGGGTTAGTGATGCTGTTAATTTAGCAAACAGAACATATAGTTGTAGGGAATGGGATGCAAGGAGTATACCATGTATGCATGCCATTGCATGTAGAATTGACCAAAGGGGTAATCCTGAAGACTTTGTTGATAGTTGTTATCATCGGGAGACATACTTGAGGACATATACACCTGTTATTTTCCCTACGCCTCTTAGGCAAATGACACGTGAAGTTGCCACTGATCCCATACACCCACCAATAGTTAAGCCCTCATCTGGCAGACTTAAAAAGGCAAGAAAAAAGGCTGTTGGTGAAGTGAACAACAAAAGTGGTGCAGTTAGCAGAAAAAAGCAACTACTTAACTACAAAAAGTGTAGGGCAAAAGGACACAATGTCAGAACTTGCAAAGCTACTGAAGTAACACCTCAAGCTGCCAAAAAAGGTACACCAGGTAGACCTAAACTGCTAGTTACTTCTGGGCTACCTGGTGGATTGCTAGACACTGATGGACTTGCATCAATAATGGCAAGAGGTATTGCAACTGCAAGAAAATCTGTAAGAGGAAGAGGCATTAGAAGAGGAAGAGGGGCTGCATGTGGTATGAGAGAGGTTGGCACTACAAGTGGAGGGATTGCAAGTGGTATGGGAAGAGGCATTGGAAGGGGAAGAGGGGCTGCAAATGATATTGGAGAGGTTAGCACTACAAGTGGAGGGATTGCTAGTGGCATAGAAGAGGTTGGCACTACAAGTGGAGGGACTACAGGTGGTATGGGAAGAAGCATTAGAAGGGGAAGAGGGGCTGCAAGAACAAATGCAAGGCAACTGCAAGAGGTTATTGTTTTAAACCATCATAATCAATTAATTTGAATGTTTACTGTCATATTACTATTTTTAATATTTTATCATTTTGTTTCATAGGTGATGACAATACAATCAAGATATGGGAATTTGTTGAATAATTTGTCTCAACCATCATCATCAATTGATTTCGATGTCTTGTGGAGTAGTCAAGCATCCTCATCATCTAGGTATGTGAGAGTTTTTTTTAAAAAAAATTCTGGAGCAATCAAAAACAATTTATAAATGTCTTTGATGATTTTACATTTTTTTTTTTTTTCTTTTCACAGGCCCACTATAATTGACCCAGGAGTTTAAGGAAATTTAGTGGTTTTCTGCTTTTTGGAGTTCATGGTACAGCTTTTTGTAAGTTTTGGTGCACAGATATTGGTTTTCATCTTTTGGTATGTTGATGGTGCACAAATATGGTTTAGATTTTTTTGGTTTGTTGGTGCACAGATATGGTTTACATTTTTTTGGTATGTTGGTGGTGCACAGATGTTTGGTTTTTTGAAATGTTGGTGCACATATGTTGTTTGGTTATTTAGAATGTTGGTGCACAGATTGTAATTTTTATTTTTGGGAATGTTGATGCAGAACTTAAGATGTTGTATGGTTATGGCTGATACTACTATAATTTATATGGTTATGACTATGTTTTTTTGTATGTTGGTGGTGCATAGATTTTGTTTTTGTATGGTTATGGTTATGTATTTTGCTATGTTCTGCACAAAATTTATTTTTGTATGTTTTTTGCTATGTTGGTGCTGCGAAGATTACCTCAGATTATAATTTTTTTGTATTGTCATCACCTATTTTGCTATGTTGGTGCAACTGCAATGTTGGTACAACACAGTATATTATATAAAAAAAATAATACATTAATTAATTATAAAGTCCATTACAATTATATTCTACTAAATAACTACACAATAACCATTACAATAGCACATGCTATAAATCTCAACATGAAAACAACTAAATTTGTGATTACATGATTCCCAATACTGCTTTGCACAGGTGGTGCACCCACAAAGTTGATACTCTCATCAATAGGCAGTGTTTCATCTTCCAAATGGTTCTCATAACCAGTTCTCATAGCAATTTGGCCTCTCAAAGATGATATGGTTCTCATAGCCAGTTCTCTTTTCATATGGTTCCAATTCTCAGGATCCACCCATCTATGGAACTCACAAGACATCATGGGATACCTTCCACATCCAAGAACCTCCGACCTAGATTATTTTGTGTAGTGGCTCTTCTTAAAGGAGATTTTACTCTACAATAGCAATACAATACATTACTTGATGGCTCCATATCAGTACTACAATACATATTGCAAGCACGTAAATAATTAAAAAAAAAAAAATTACTATTAACAACTAAACACTACTATACATCTGAAGGAAAAAAAAACTAACACAAAAAAAGTAATATAAATATATATATATATATATATATATATATATATATATATTCAAATCTAATATATATGTGTTATAAATAAATTTAATTGCATAAGAAAACTCACCTTTGTCCAAAACCCCTTCCAGTTTGTTGCAGAGAGAGAATGAGTACACAATTTGGCAAAATGACATACAATGGGGTTATATAGGCCACAAGGTTATAACGGTCACAAAAAGGGCATTTTTGGCATTATAATACTTTGAACAGGCGTGTGGCATTACACACGCCCGGAAAGCTGATCCGGTGACTTCTAGGGGGGTATTTGCACACTTTGGTAGTTAAGGGGGTTATTTGCAAAAAATTGGATAGTTGAGGGGGTTTTTTGCACTTTTGCCTATATATATATTACCTTTTGTTCTTATAATGTTCTGATTTGATATTAGAATAAGTGAATGAAAATACTTTTTTTTTTTTTTTTTTCTCTCAATTTTCTTTTTGATATGATGTGAATGAAAATATTTTTAAATATTTAAGTCTCTAGTTTTTCAATATTTTCAAAAATTCATTAATACATTTAAAATTTGTCCTTCTAATTTCGGTTTAATTCTTGCGGAGAAGCTATTTGGGTTGTGTATAGTAGAGTCTGAAAAGGGTAAGTTGTTTTGTGTTTAGTATTTTATTTATTTATTGAGTTTCATTTGGAAAATTTTCCTCTTTTTTTTTAATGTTTCATTTGGAAATTTTTGCAGTATAATTTACTGCTATTTCTGATAAAAAAAAAAAAAAGGAGAAAAAGTCTAAGAATGCGAATTAGGCTTGATAGTTAAGATTGGGTAAACCTTATTGTCCTTTGTCTCGTTGAGGTGTTTAGTTCATCTAATTTTATTTCTTTTCGTACCTTATTTTATTCTTCCTGATTTTTTTAAATTAAAAAAAATATTAATTCTGTAAATCGTAAGTTCATAAATAAAAAAATTTCAAGTGCAATAAATATAAATAAGCTATATATATATATTAAACTGCACGACATATATAAAAAACAACAAATCAAAAATCTTGGAAACAATCTGATCTTTCCTTCTGCTAGGGAGAGATGATGTATGTGATGGTTGGAGTAGTGGAAGATTATATATCCCCTACATGTAAGAAAATACAACATTGAGGTAATTTAAATTATTTATTTAGTAAATTATTTTATAATATTTTTTAATTTTGATTTTCAGTATCGTGCACTTTTTAGTGGTTCTGTATAAAATCCCAATTCATTGTGTGAGTCAGAATGGCCCATATTTTTATAGATTAGGCCGGCATTTTTGGGTCATCTAGTATGGCCCATATTAATCTGAACCCATCATATATTAGATATTTGGGCCAGCTAGTCTGGCCCATATTTTATAGATTAGGCTGGCGTTTTTGGGTCAGCTAGTATGGCCCATATTATTCTGAGCCCATCATACATTAGGTGTTTTTGGGTCAGCTAGTATGGCCCATATTTTTATAGGCCTTGCCAACCATTCCCCTCCTTACCATTAGGTAAGGCTATTGTGGTTAGGTCTATCTTTTAAACCATTCTGAACCCATCATACGTTAGGTTTTGAATGGTTTACCCCTACCCGCAATGTCTCTCAGGGTGCTGATTCAGACACCTTCGGGAAATGCGATTGGCATGTCGTTGGATAAATAATTGAGTTTGGCTTTAAAACTAACACTAAGTGCTTCGCAATTCGACTCAAAAAAAATAAGCCACATGAGATCCAAATCCTCATCGTAGACCAACCTCCTCACCCTCATCATCAATCTCATGCGTAATCCGCAATATTCGGTCGCTGACGTTTTATCTATGTTTCCTCTCTCTTTCTTACTGTCAGCATTCACCCTATCTAGCAACCGAGCTATTTATTTTAATACGATGAAAAGAAGTAAAAAGGAGTGAGGACGAATTGGGCACTTAAAAGATGCACATTGTTTTTCATGTTCACATTAGCATTTATGAAGAATTTATCTATTTGAAAATTCAAAACTAAGGAATCACTAAGTTCATGTATTTGCAATACTCCCGTAGTTTCCTTTGAATAATAGTCAAAACGGAAAAAAAAAAAAAAAAAAAAAGAATAAAAAAAGGAGGTTATTGTTGATATCTTCCACTACTGCTAGAAGTACCTCGTCTTTAAATTAAACAGCCCGTCTCAAAGCTTGCTTGATTCATTGCCTTAAGCATGATTTAAAGTTTGCTTAAGTAAAAGAGTAATTATAGGGGAATGGAAAATAAATCTCTGAATTAA